GGTCCTGCGGCCCTTGGAGCCGGGCTAGGGGTGCAGGGGGCCGAGCTGGGTGCAGGGCTCCCTGCCGAAGCATCGCTATCTGTCCGGGGGGAGACCGCCGCTACTCGTTCCGGTACCGCCTTTGTAGCTGGCCCGGAGGGAAGGGACTGGTCCAGCGGGAGGAATCCTGCGGGCCGCCTGGGGCGAATTGCGGCTTCTCCCGCGGCCTTTGGCAAATGGGCCAAGAGCGCCGTCCGCTTCTGGTAGAGCCAGTGTGGGGGCAGCAGCCTCGTAACAGGGCCTGCAGCCGCGGTGCGGGGTGGCCTCTGCATCTCTGAGTAGCACGGATGATCGATCCGAAGGGCCTTTTCCATGAGCAGACTTAGGATTTCAGGACGAGAGAGCTGTTTTACAAGGCAAATGCTCTTCGTGGCTGGGAGAGCCAGAGTGTAGTAGGTGAATGCAGGAGTGCTACCGCAGCAGCGTTAGTACCCCAAGGACCAGGCTTGGGCTGGGCTGGAGTGATGAAGGGTTGCCCTGTAACAAAATGCTGTTTATTGGCTGTTTTTAATTTAGTCATCCAAAGTGTGACATCAGTAGAAAGCAAATGAAGGTTGTTTGCATCCTGTTTCACAAGAAAATTTTAAATATGTGTCTCTAATGTTTCTAGCACTTCATACTGAGTACTAGGCAAGTGTTGGTTTTAAAAATAACTTGCAAAGTATGGTGATGGGTTCATGTTCATCTTTATTCACAGATGATGAATAAAGTTGTTTCTGTAAGAGCAGAAAAGGGAATCAGACACTGCTTACATTCTCACTGGGAATTGCTCAGACCAGAGGAAGAGCTGTGGTCAGGTTTGGCTTGCGTGACATCCTCATGCCAACAGCAAACACCACTAATGCTTTTAATTTTTGTCTGTGACTTAAACTTTTGCTAAACCCTATCAATTAATGGTTACCTATGTCTGAAAGCACAAAATTTAGTCATAGTCTTTAAATATTTATGTATATAATTATGTAGTGTCATGCTTTGCCATCATTCAATCCCACAAAACTTTTATTATCAGTGATATCTTGTAGTCTTGAGTTCTGTTATTGGAAACAAGCCTGTTGGTGCACATGTGGATTAAAATTTCAGGTTTCTGTCATAATTTCCTTTTTCGCCAGTTAGTAAGTCTTGGAGGGCGATCTAAAGTCATTTGCTGACTTACTTCAAAGAGCTCTAAAGTTTTCCTGTCACTCCTATTTTTAGCTGTGAAGTAAAGTTTCTTTGTGGAAGCCTTTCAAATCTTGACTTCCTGTTCTTGTAACAGACTGCAAGAATGAACATAATGGATTGAGAAAGTACTTCACTCTAATTATAAAGCTGATGTAAAATCCTTTGTTGCAGCAGAGCTACTTTATTTTTTTTTTGTTTGCTTACTGTAGTTGGTTTCTTTCTATAGACCCAAAGGCTTTCTGAAGGGCAGATTTTTGTCTTACCGGGTGAGGCAATGAAGCTGTAACATACACAGAGTTTGTGTTTTGTGTTGGCCAAAACCAATTGTATTCTCTTTATTTACCCTTTTTTATCTGTATGATTCGATAATCTCTGGACCTCATTTAGTATCCTGTAATGTCTGATGGTCACTTAATACTTCCATTCAGTAGACAAATACTGATGTATTTTACTGTGAGAGCAAAACTGCAGGGAATCAGACTACTCAATTTCCAGTTATTGTACTGGCTGGCTGCAGTTTTGTAGCACTTCCCCTTTTCTTGTGAGAGGGGGGAATATTCTCATCTCTTAGGCTGCTCTTCTCCCCTAACTCACGTACAGTCTGTTCATAACTGCTTGAACATGTTACTAACAAACATGCTTTTCCATTTATTATCTAGCTTGAAAGTAGACCTGAGCGTGATGAGGCAAATACCATGCACAAAACAGAAATTAAGTGCAACTTGAGAGAGCAGCAGACTGGAGATGACAGGAAGAAGAAAACAAAGCATCAGTGACCCACTGCAGTGCCTTCAGAAGCTCCAGAGCGTGTTGGCAACGGTCGAAAGGGAGGAATCTCTACCCAGTGAGGGCAGGCTGAAAGGCCGCAGCGTGGAGGAGAGCCTGGTCAGGCAGGTGGCACCTCGAGAAGCATCCCCATAATTCCAAGGCTTGGAGGCAGTGAGCAGTTGTGGCTGTGCTGGGACAGACAGAAAACACAAGGAGGTGAACGAGCCTGCGGCTGCCCGGTGGTTCTGAACACCTCTGCAGGATGTGCTGTGACTTGTCCAAGGGCCTCTCCAGAGTCTGCAATTGTGGGTGAACTACCAAAAAAAGGGCAGTGAGTATGTCTTTATTGAACGGATGTGTTGAAATATTTTTGGCATCTTACTCATTAGAATTTTTTTGGAAAAATGTAAAAGAGGAGGATAAAATGTTTCTTACTTTCGGAGTTCCCTGGTTTTGTAAAGCCAGAGAGAGAGAGAAAGAGCATTAGATCATTCTTTAGATAGGGGAACTATTACAGTGGAAATGACTGGATATTTTCCACTTCCCTAATCTATACAGAATTAAACACCTAAAGTCATTACAGAATCCTAGCTGCTTATTTTGAGGGACTCTTGATTGTTATTTCTTTAATGTGATGTTACTATCTCTTTTTTTTGTGTAGGAACTGGGTTGATTATAGCTTAATTAGTAACCTTATTTCATTTTCATAAATAATTATCTCAAATTAGTGGAACAAGACAACTTTTGCTTTTCTTAAGGGTTTTGGAAAACAAAAGCAATACTGAATCCTCTTCAGTTTAGGGAGATTGATTATAGATGAATGTGAGTTCTTTGGTGGCTGCATTTGCCTTTTCCCAATGTGATGATTTTTTTTCTTTTTGATATATATATTTCATTATCTTCAATTATTAGTAAGAAGGAACCACAAAGAAATAAGCGTATTCAGCTGTAGCAGGAAAGAAAGCTTAATTGTGGGAATTTAAGTAATACTGGAATGGTCACCGGTTCCAAAATAGCTTCTGGTTGGGGAAGCCTGAGTGAATGACCTTGGGCTGACACAGAAATGCACTCATCCCTTTCCTCCTCCCCTGCTGCCCTCCCATCCAAATAATATTTAAGGACATAATCAAGTATTTGTGTAACTTTGTGGATGGCTCCAGCTCATGGAAGAGTGCTTTGTCATACTGTTGCTGGGCGCATAAAGGACTATAAAGGAACATAAAGGACTGTTCTTGAAAGTGTTTTATTGAAATTTTGGTTCTTTTTTTCCATTTGGTTTGCAATTCAAATGCAAAGAGATACAAGAATAAATCAAATTTGGTATAAAGCTTTAATTTAAAAAAACCTCCAGAATAGTTGGTGCTTAAGAATGAGTTTTGCATTGAAAATGGCATGTATTCCATGATGTCCACATACTTTTAAGGGCAGTCTACAGATGGATAAATAATTGTACACCAGAAATGCTGAACTATATGACTTCTGCCTCACTATGCAAGGATCTTTTAATACATTAGACACTTAAAACTGTTGAAATCAGGTGCAAACTGCCTTACATGGATGTGGTGACAGAACAGATAATACATTAGACACTTAAAACTGTTGAAATCGGGTGCGAACTGCCTTACATGGATGTGGTGACAGAACAAGGGGTAATGATTTTAAACTAAGAGAGGGTAGATTTTTCATTAATACAAGGAAGACGTTATTTAGGAGGAGTGTGCTGGTGTCCTGGTTTGAGCTATATAGAACCAATTTTCTATTTAGTGATTTTACTTTTCAGCTCAGTCTCTTAAGTGGCTGAACTTGCTGAAACTAAAGGCATTGTTTTTCCAGTATGTGCTGCTAGAAGATAAGCTCAGGGTCAGTTGTCTCACCATGGGTGCCGTGTCTGCACCTACGGGGAGGAGAAGCAGACCCAAAACTGACCAACGAGGTATTCCATCCCACATACGTCATACTCCTCGACCCTTCCTCCATCCCAGACCCTTCTGTCCATCTCGATCCTGCAATGGCTGAAGTCCGAGCAGACCCTGCTGCTTCATCTGCCTGTGATCCTGATCCCTGTGTTCCTGCATCAGCTCCCACTGCTGCTGAGTTCAGTCTGGGACTTTTCCAGTGCCCTGCTCTGCAGAGCCTCTGGTGACATATACATCATTGGGAGGAGGGTGGGGGAAGGATTTTATATTGGTTTTGTATATATATATTTGTACGTATCTGTATATATTTAATTATTTTCCTATTTAGATTATTAACCTGTAGTATCAGTAGTATTGTTTTATTAAACCTGTTAGTTTTATTTTCCAATCTGTAAAGTCTCTCTTCCTTACTCTCTTTTCTCTTCCCTTTCTGGGCAGGGGAGAGGGGTTAACAGAGAGCATCTGTCCAGGATTTAGTGCCCACCCCAGCTCTGAACCACGACAGCTGGGACACTGCAACAGGCTGCCCAGAGGAGCTGTGGAGCTAAGTTGTGATCGTGCCAGTCCAGCGCTTGGCTCTTCAGGCACTGCTTCCCTGGCAGCTGCAGGGTTGGAGAATCATTCTTGAAGCACTGCTGTGGAGCATGGCTTTGCCCGCTTATTCTGCCTCCAAAGCAAAAGAGATTCTACAAAAAAATCTCTCTGAGCAGAGTACTCAGAAGGAAACAGGGAGCATCAGTTTCTACGAGGCAGGTCAGAAAGCCCCAGAGACCGTTTTGTCCTTACGGTCCTTGTGCACTGCTGGGTTATGCCACCCTCTTGAGGCTGATGGCAGATTTGCAAAGGAGAAAATACTGCACACAGTTACAGCTCCAAAGCTTTTTCTTGATCACCAGGAAACATTGTGCAGGCTGTTCTATGTTGCCCCCTTTTTTTTTTTTTAAACACAGCATATAGCCTGTGCCTCAATTTTTGTTCTGTAGATCAGCTTAGCCCTATTTTTCCTTCTCAGTGAGTAGGCTGTATCCTGTACAACTCTCAGAATTCCAGAATCGATGATCCTTACTACAGCCCTTCTCTTTTTAAGACAGGATTTATGCAGTATCTCTGTCTGACAGTTTCCTTCCTGAACCATTAGGCACCTTATCGGCTGAATGTTTCTTCTTTAGAGTTGTGGAATCAGTAATAATTCCATTTTAAAGTAAAACTTAAATCAGGCCATCTAGTGCTGTCTTTGTCCTTCATCTCACATCAGTTTTTCATCCAAGTCTCTAAAAAGGCAAAAGATAAAGATTATCTTAATAGTCTTAACATTTTTCATGGGTGAGAGGGCAACATGACTGTGGCTGGACTGAAGACAGACCATAGACAGCCCTGACAAGGCCCCTGTGAAGAGATGATTAACTACAGCACACTGGGCTTTAACCAATAGGACTTTATTTCTGTTGGTATCTCAACAAAAGAAACCTGAGGTCCAGTACAGAAGTGTGGCTAAAAAAAAAATAATAATCAAATTATGGTTTCATTTATTGATGTTGGTTAAATAACCAAGTTTGACATTACTGTAAAGCAAGAGACATATGCATTCCACTACTCCTTCTCATCTTCAGGAAAGCACAGAGACTTTCACATATCCAAGCACATTATTTTCAGGAAGATCTAAGCACCACTTCACTACTACCCAAAGGGTGAGCTAGCATGCTGTCAACTAAGGCCAAAAACTCCACCAGCCAGAACAGTTCTGGCCTTTGAAGGGACAGAGTATTTGTCCCCTTGCACAAAGGAGTTCACACCTCACCACTGTGATAGCCGCCTCCTCTTCCTACTTAAGTGCTTGAAGTCTGACCACAGCGTAATCCAATTAAATTTGATCCCTAAACCAGAAAAGCAGGGTACAATTTCTGCAGTGTCAAGGAGTAGTATAAGGCACAGTACTTTGCTATGTTTTTTACTTTAAATTTAAAGGAATGTCAATTAAGGCCGATTATCAACATTGTAGCCTCCCAGCAATAGTTAGAGTGCTCATAAGATTGGATAATTGTTTCCCATGTTTGGTGTCCAGTTTAGATAAAGTCAGTTCTCTTCCTGTTCAAGAACCATTGCAAATCAGGTATGGTGATCACTTGTTGCAGCTGGAACATTCACTTGTGCATCACTGCTCATTCTGCTGCCCCTCCGTGACGGCAGACACCCCTCCTTGGCCCTTGTTGACGTCGCTGATGCATGCCCACAGTCCGTCCACTGATTCCTTCCATAGCGTGACCTCAAAAACAGACCAGGAAGAAGTTTCAGCCTTAATACATCCTCACTTTCCCTTGTCCTTGCAGCCATCACATTGCTAGTTCGGTGACAGTCTGCAGTTACACAAGTCAAGAGTTGCAGCATTGCTTTAAGTATCAAATTATTTGTTGCTGTATACTGAATAATTACCCAGTGGCAGTACCCTACAAAATACAGCTAGGCTTGCATTTCTCATGGTCAGTAAGGACGAAGAATGCAGTGCAAGTAGTTTGCTAAGGGTTAGGGTCTTTCTCCCCTCTTAGTAAGTAAAAAGAAGAAAATTCAGCAAAGGAGAATCTGCAACAGTTTTAACTTAAAAGTGACAACAGCCTGCCTCATCTCAGCTCTTCTGAAAACACGGCACACAGGAGTAGAAGCCAAGGCAGCCGTACTCACTTTATTGTCTCCCCCAGACACTGCGAGAATATTTGCAGTAATGGACCAGCTCACATGCCAGACAACATCGTTGAACTTGTGCAGCAACTTTGGTGACCATGAATTTCCAGAGGCATCATCACACGTCCAGATAAACACTCTCCCATCCTGCAGAAGCAAGCAGACCGAGCTGGAAGTTTGGCGAACTTGATCCAGGGACATTAAAATACATTGTAAGTTTTAAGGTCGTCCTCACAGCGAGACCATCCTGCTCTTGATTTTCAAAATAAAAGATAGTCTTTGGTACAGAGCCATGCATGCACAAACCCTTGATCAGAAATGCTTCCATTGGGCTGCTGTGTTTGGGAGGAACAGGAACCAAAGGCTCCTACACACAGGTCCTGCTGTAGCACAGGGTTGCCAAGAGGACCTGGTACAGCAGCTCTGTCCTTACCACTCCTTTACCTCCTTCCCCTTCTCTCTGGTAGCTCAGGCAGGGCCCTGAGTCTGTCTCTGCCGCTCCAGCAGAACCTCACCTGTGAGCAGCTGGCAATGGTGCTTGTTGGCAAGCCTATAGATGGAGCCCAGGCCACATCTCGAACCCAGTCACTGTGAGCCTCCAGCTTCTGCTCTTCTTTCCACTGGCCATCTTCTTCCCTGGAAACACATTTATGCGGTCAGAAGGCTGGCAGCAGCAGCAACCATACTCCTCAACTCTTGTTTTGTTTTCACAGCTTTCAGACTCCTGGCTTATCCAGGTAATACAAGGCACACATGTTCCCTGCTCCTCTCCAAAATCCTCTATGGCTTAAACTGACAAAATCTCTTCCAAGAGACAGAAAGCACCACAGGAAAAAGGGTATTTGATTTTCAGTTACTGTACAGAAATCTGCTGTTGTCCAAGTGACAGTGGTAACCAAAGACAATTAGAAAGCCACTTTCCAAGGTAAGGCGTCAGCCCTGCTTCATAAGTTGCTATAACCACATGAGAAATGGTACATCACTAAGTTATTTACATTTTTAAAGCACATCTCTAAAACGTCAATTCAAAGATGAAAGCATAGAGATGCTGAAAATATTTCATGAAGTCCTAACAGGGAAATTCTAAGACTATAACGGATATCAGGTTTTAGAAGTTCTTACTTCCAGATCTTGACCAGGTTGTCGCAGCCACCAGACGCAAACCTTTTGATGTAGTTCGGTTTTTGACCAGATGGTTGTTCTATAAGGCTTCCTGGTACAACAGCAGGAGCCCAGCTAACTGCGTTACATCCAATCTATTTAATGAAAAAAAAAAATTATTAAAAGTTGCTTACTTTAACTAAGTACATAAAAAGCTGCTGAGGGGCCAAAGGACACCCAGCATACTCTCCATTGCAGGGGAAATAAGCCCATCTTAGGAAACTAAGAGTCTTGCACAATGCTGGATGGATATCGCAGGAAGAAGAAATCCAAATACAGCCTAATCTCAACAGGGCACTTAGCAGAAAGCCTTAGGTAGGTTGTATTTCAGTGCTTCTCCAGCCTACAAGTTCTCTGAGGCATCAGCTTGGTGCTTCTCTATATCGACAAGAAGTCGGTGCTGCTCCAGAGGAGCACTTACCGTGTGTGCATTGCTGATCTTTTTGACTTCCCACTGCCCGTCACCTGTGTAGCTCAGTAAGGAAATGGCCCCATCAGAGCTCCCGCAGGCCAGGATCAGTCCATAGTCATGCGGTGCCCAGCAGACAGAATTCACTGTGCGAGTGAAACAGACTGCGTTACACCACAGCCCAAAACTGACCGGCCCAATCACTGCCCAGCGTCAGTGGAAGAGTCACTGACAGCCAGCAGCTCTGGCAGCTGAGTCTTAGCGTTCCTGAGCTTCAGCAAAGCCAGTCAATGAAACTGCTTACTGACAGACAAAAAACTGCCTTCATTTCTGGCACCCTTTTAGAATGATACCACCAGAAGAGCACTCTTAATGAGAGATTAAATCTGACTATCCTGTGCAACAGCAAGGAGTATTGCTGACTCTGGGACAAAAGCTGAAGGGCAGGCAGGGTATTTAAACTCTAGATCAGTAACGAAACAAAGCTGGAGACTACTCAGATCTGCGTGCAGGAGGACCAGTCATCTGAACAAAACAGTTTCCACTGTAAAACAAAATGTGGCATGCTAAAATCCACCTTATCCCTTTCTCCCTGCAGTGGATACTGCAATATTTCCCTCAAGAATTCAGTACCCTAGCATCTTATTTGAAAGCCATTTTATTTGTAAAAACTGCCACACAAACATGGTATGAATCAGAACAGGAGGTTATCCACCAGTATAACATTACATGAAGGTTCTGTCTATGCTGACCTGCTGTCCCTCCATTAACTGCTCCCTTCCTGTGTGACAGAGGCTTTCTTAACACTGACACATTTACTCAATCTTACCTAAATCCTCTCATATCCCCTGTTCCACCTCCCAGCTCCAGACCCCACGTACCTGAGGAGTCGTGCCCTGTGTACTCGTATGTCTTTTCCCAAGTGCCATTCTCTTCCTTCCAGACAATGACCTTCCTGTCGTAGGAACAGGAGGCCAAGATATTTCCATACATAGGATGGGCCCAGGCAACCTGCCACACGGGACCTTCGTGCCTGCAAGAAACAGAGCTCTTTGGAAAAGCTGCGAGAAACCCACTCGGGTCACGGCTGTGTCGCAGCCATCGTTATTGCAAATCGGTGTTCTGCGAGTGACTGACGCAGAGATGTGAAGAACATGAGTAATGCCAAGATGAAAACCAGCATGCAGGACTGACAAAGCCATCGCCATCGAAAACAAATCAAAGTGTTTATTCTTGTAGGAGCAATTAAGATTGTGAGTTTACTTCTTGAAAATTAGAGGTGTCAAGTATTTAATGAGTGAAAAAGTTGCAGTGTTATTTCTAACTCGCTCTCTGCCCTCCCCACAGCTCTGAAGAGTTGATCAGCAACAACCAGCCAGGGTAATTACTACCACGGACGAATTTACCATGCATCTTATCTTACCAAAGGGCAAAACGACAAAATATCAACATTTTCTACAGATTAAAGCCTTAACTTTACACCACTTTACCCTCTCAGGTCCGCGATGAGGATTTGCCCTCCATTCCTAACATCAAAGATTTTCACGGATCTGTCTGAAGAACAGGTCGCTAACCGAGTGCCGTAGTAATCCATCTGGGCATCGTGCTGCAAGGGGATGGAAAACCTGCTGTCAGCGCGTCCGAGTTCTGCTTTGTTAACAAATCTTACTACTTTTTAGAAGTAGCCCTAAGAGCTGTGAACAGACAACTGACTCCCAGCATGACAGGTTAAAAAAAGACAGTTCAGCACTCCAGACAAGCCACACAAGTCATTTATTTCCCCAATTGCTGTTTTCACTACACAGAAGTAACCTAGGGAATTTGGAGCAGGAACGCACGGCGTTTGCAGGAGGGGACAGGAAATCAGTGCTACTGACTACACAGCCCTGACCAGCTATGTACTTCTGTTTCATAGCATGTAAAGTGAATGTAAGAATACTGACACCTTATTTATGTTTGAAACGTCGCTGTGTAACCAGGCTCCTTGCTTCCACAGATTACTTGGTAATGTTTCCTCCTACCTGTGCTTACACATCTGCTCCTGGAGACATCCCCAGGATGACAGTTTCATCTGTCAAAGTGCTGTACGCATACACACAGTTTCATAGAAACGAGCCTAGGTGTGCAAATTAAAGTTTAAAATCAGTTCCTCTTCCCCTAGCAGCTACGTTTTCCTGCCCACACGGCATAAAATAGGACATAAAATAAAGCATAAGATTCAGCACTGGCAGAACTCCGGGCAGTGCTCTCCATGCAGCACCCCACCGCAGGCACACACCTCACACTCTCACTGCCTTAAGTGCCACAGCCGTGCGGTCGGAGCCGCAGAGCCCGGCGCTGCTTTACCCCAGAACCCCCCCGCACTCACGATCATGTCCTCGTGGGAGGTGTCCACGGTGTTGATGACCGAGACCTGCGGGGAGAACCAGACAAAACAACGCGCATCAGCGGGGGGCGGAGGAGCCACCTCTCGCAC